CTGGCGGGGGTGGTTCCCCCGCAGTTCTCTTGTTTACGAACCACGGTGCATAGGTAACCACGTGCTTGTGCATTGCAAGCTTTTTCCATTCGAACAGAAACTATCCAATTTCGCGAGACTCTCCCGGATAGAGTAACTTTGGAATGTGAATCATTCCCATGGCAGGAATCGCGGGAAATTTTAACCTATAACTCGTAACCCTTTCGCTACGAACGTAGTATATATACACAGCCTGAAACGTCGAACAACCATTTGCATTCGTAAATCATAAAGTCATATTTCTTTTCGTTCGTAAATAAATATCACGAATAATTATGAAAAGTATTTTGATAATTCTATGTTTCCCCTATCGTTCTATATTATTCTATCTGTTATAGTAATTCTATTCCTTTTTATTATTCTTCTACTAATAAGAGCTACTTGTGCGATAAAATTGTCTATATCTGTAAATGCTGTATCGATACGATTATCGTAGAAAAATTCGAAACCATATCAGGAAACACGCTCTATCTGGAGCACTTAATTTCTGTATACCACGATTTTCGATCGTTCGTCGTTTTTCTGTGAATTTTTTCGAAATCGTCATCCGTGAAATGCTCTACGTTACACACGCCGTGACCGGTCGATTAGTCATCGTAAAAACATAAATCAATAAGTGTGCTCGGCTCGAACGAACGATTCTTCGTACGTTAAGTAATCGGCCGTTACTTTTTCGTGAATAATCTAGGATCTGAACGACTCATCAGATCGAATCGTAAATTCCAGATCGATAGTAGCGCTGTATGATTCTCGTATTTGACGCACAAGTTTCCAAGCGTTCAGTCTATTGGTTGGTACGGTTTAGAAATGGTAGTGAATGGGAGGGCTGACTATAAGTGTTGGACGCGTGAAAGACCCGACCAGATAGTAGTGTCAACCCCATGAATAATCTGAAATCTACTGGCGCCTTCGTGTTTACTTTATTCGTCTATGCGACGTTTCCTGTCTCACCAAAAGTCCACACGGTATCTCTGCCTAATATATATATATATATATTTTTTTTTTTTTCTTGTATCTAATTCTCCATTCATCGATCGTCCACGGAATCGCAGGTATTTTTCGATTAATCGTGTCTAAGGAAGCCTATTCACCGTAGTATGTAAATTGTTTAGAATACGCTTAATAGTGAAGGAAATGAGACAATGATAATGGTCGATTGATAAAATGCGGTCTCATTTACAAGAGTTCATTCATTCATATAATCGGCTGGCGATTCAACGCTCGTTTAAAAGTTTAAAATTCTACCGAATTTTCGCGCAATTATGTATGTATCTTTATCGCCTCGTAACACATAGTATACATAATACGTATAGTGTAACACGTGTAACAAAGTAGCATAGTGGAAGATAGGAAACAGAACACGTTGAGCAATCCGATGTGCCAACTTCGACGTTGTAGCGTCATTCTGATTTACCAACAAAGCGAATCACGTGCCGTGTGTAATAGCCTACGTAACAGCTCGAGTACTCTTCTTCACCTTTTCAGGAGATAATAGAAAGTTTGATACACGTACATATTTACTATTCTACATTCCTTCCATTTCATTCTACCGTATCGTTGCTTATCTTCTATCGAGCCGGATGAAGCTTTCGTATGTTATCGCTTCCTTCACTGGCCACCACCACGCTCTAGTTTTTCTTTTTGTAATTCCCAGAAAAGTTGATCGCGTTTGCATTCCTCTGCTTGTTCTTGGTTCCCAACGAAACACGAGGCAGACGTTTCTCAAGAGACTCGCCCATCGCGTCTTTTTTTTTTTTTTTTCTTTCCTTTTTTCTTTCCTTTTTTTCTCCCTCTCCTCGTGGAAAACATTTTCTTGTTCTCTAGCTAAGTGATCCATTGGAAACACGTGACTGGTCCGCTTAGGTGGTCTCGAGATAGTGTTACATGGAAACTGTTACGAAATTTGAAATTCGTCGCTGCTCTTCTTCTTACCTACGCACAGTTTTATCTTTTGGCTTCGTATTTTTGTCATGATATAGGTAATCAACAACGTAATTAACGATTGAGAAAGTTTGACTTTGTGAAGGAAACTTCGTGATCGTTTCATATGACGTAACGTTTGTCCCTCTGTGCCGTTCAGTTTTTTTTTTACGCGGTCTTATCACAAAAGGAAGTTGATAAAAAGAATTTGATGAAGACGGCGAATGAAGTTGGCTACGAAACTCCCTCCACAAAGATGTCATTTCGTCTGTATTTATAGCGTTGACAACTTTTCGAAGCATCGTCTGTGGAAAAAAGGGTAATGCGCTATCTTTACATAAATTTACTCTTCGTTCGTAAGAAGCTTTGATATGATAAAATATATACCTTTTTCTGATGAAGATTATTTCGACCGAGACGTTCGGTTACACCATAAATATTATAAATGTAGAAACGATATCTAACGCCGTATACTTTGTTACACACACTCACACTTGTCTAGATCTATGTAAATATTACGAAACCATAAATACGTACTATGTTGCCTTTCCATGGTCCTTAGGTTTTACCGTAGAATTTTCTTACTTGCTACAACGAAAACTAGTTCTTACGTATGTTTCTACGCGAGCCGATATTATCATCTTCCACGTCTTCTTCATTCGTTATTAATCCATATGACGTTTAGTTACCCTGCATATGCTGACGAAGGCTGTACACCGCGTCTCTCAACGATTCGACCTGTTATAATTTCATACCGTTCTAAAATATTCGATTCTTGTGTAAGTAGAAAATAAGACTGAACAGAAGCTGATTATAAATATGGAAAATTGTACCAGTAAACTTAAACAGTTAAACTAAAAACGAAGAGATTCGCGCGTAATCCAAGTTACTATAGTACAATTTCATTTTATTACATTCTCAGTTCAAGTTTTATCGAATGAAATATTTTGTCACGTTGGTTCTATAGTTACGAAACTGTGATTTAAAATATTATTTTTAAAATTTGACGCTAAACGGAATGCGCTTTGAGAGACTGACGATAATTTCACGAAAGTGTAAACGAATGAACTTCGAAGAGAAATTTCCCCGGTAACATAGCCAGGGAACAATTTTCTTCAGGGCCGGCGGTCACTGCGTATTACCGCTGGAGAAAACAAAGGATAAGAACCCCGGGCCCTTCTTACTTCCATTTACAAGATGTTCGAAAGCCGACGATGAGGCCAAGGTTATTATACGAACGCAGGTGTCGATGCAGATGTCGCATAACAGACGGTGCAACACGACCGCGTGTACGGTACATGGAAATTTTAATGAAAGTCCAAGAATCAGCAATATCTATCGCTCAAAGTTCGTCACAAGTGTCTGTTCCCAAGTATGTCGGTACATTGCATCCATTTATTATTTTAGATTGCACGTACTTTGACGTAGACATCTTAATGTAGTCTTAGAAGACAATATTTGCGTATTGATAATTGTCGGAATTGGATTGAAATCGATGAATCGTTCGTGTCGTGGTTAAACAGGTGTAACACCGATTCAAAAGATCCTTTCCTAAACACCTGTCGATGTTATTCTTTTTGAGATATCTGTCTGTAGTCAATGTAGCGAAAACGATTGCATTGGCTTCCTCCTTGTTTCAGGTAGAAGTCAAAATGTTGTGATGGCTGGAACATCTCGACGTCCGAGCTCTGAGC